GGTTATTCAGCGGAAGAGAAGAAAGAAAGCAAAGCCTCACGAAAACCTTTTCACCTCGAAGAAAAAAATTGAGAATTTACGGGGACATTTAGGCATTTACAGGTTTCCATATAACACACTTAAGCGTCAAGCTGTTACATATTTGGAAAGAGCTGCAGTTACTGTTGTGTGCTATAGGTTGGTAATTAGGTAAAGAAATTGGAATTGTGTTACATTCACAATAAGGTCATAACAAAATCTTAATGCTTAATCAGCTGAATGCTGCAGGACTATGCCGACAAGTCCTGTTTTATAAAAACCCATACATAAAAACATGTATCATTAATTTAGTTAGTTAGGGAGTTAATTTCCCCTTGTGGCATTAGGTAAATACATTAAAACCATGGGAGGAGTTCAGATCTTGTACTTGAGTAAGAGTAGAAGTACTCAGATATTGTACTTGAGTAAGAGTAGAAGTACTCAGATCTTGTACTTGAGTAAAAGTAGAAGTACTCATATCTTGTACTTGAGTAAAAGTAGAAGTACTCAGATATTGTACTTGAGTAAGAGTAGAAATACTCAGATATTGTACTTGAGTAAAAGTAGAAGTACTCAGATCTTGTACTTGAGTAAAAGTAGAAGTACCAGAGTGTAGGAATACTAAAAGTCCTGCATTCAAAATGTTCCTCAAGTGAAAGTAGAAAAGTATTCTCATCAAAATATAGTGAAAGTAGCGACAGTAAAAGTAGTCGTTGTGCAGATTGGTCCATTTCAGAATAATATATATGATATGTTTTATAATGATTGATCATGAAAGTGTTCTCAAAGCTGGTGAAGGTGCAGCTAGTTTGAATGACTTTGTATACTGCAGGGTAGCTTGTGGATTTACTCCAGGTGGAACTAAAGTCTGATTCAACACTTGATTATATTTCACATCATTCATCCACATCTGTGAAGTAACTAAAGGTATTAAATACATGTAGTGGAGTGAAAGTACACCATGTACCTCTGAATTGTTGGTAGTAGAAGTACAAAAATAAGTAAAGTCACTCAAAATTGTATAAAGCACAATTGAGTAAATGTATACTTAGTTCATCACTGATTAAAACTAAAACATCTATCAGTGATTTTCGTTTCAGTTAATATTCTTAACACCTCAGTATATTTAACTCACATTCAGGCTGAAATGCTGCTTTATACAGATCGTAGAAGAAGAGCCAGCTCGCTCTTATCTGTGCGGCCGCTCAGACTTCCTGTCTGCGGGCCATTGTTCGCGGCCGACCGGCTGCACTGCGCAGATGCACACCTGCCGCACCCGAGTCCATCTGAGGAGCAGGACGTTATTTCGATGTGCGATGTTTACATTTTGAATGGTTCATTTCTAGTCTTTTGATTTCTCTAATGTACATTGCCTTGTCTTTTTTTGCTGCTGCAACGCAAACATTTCCCAAATTGGGATCAATAAAGTATTTTATCATGTGTTCTTGTTCTTTACGTTAGGTTAAACAAAAAAGAGCATATAAATGTGTGTATTTATGTGTTACCTGAATGGATGACCTGATTTAAGTCCAGGAGTTCAAAGATGGTAAGCTTTAAAAACAAAAAACATGTTAATTTCAGATGCATGTCCTATAACAAGCCTTTACTGATTAACATTTATTTTAAATATTAATGAACCCACAACCATGTATTATATAGGCTTATACATTTAAACTGCACACATGTCATTGTTGTCATTCTTTTATTTTACTTCCTTCCTTTTTAAAATGTGTTCTTGATGTTTTTTTATTTTTCTTTCATTCTTTTTTAGAAAGTTTAAAAAGAAGAAATACAGTATATTTGCGCCCATTTTGCAACTTCATTCCTCTTGCTGTGTTAATGCATGTGTCATTATACACCAAAGCAAATGACTTGTTTGAGTTCAACCTACTTTGCAACAAATAAAAGTATTTTTAACAAAAAATTGCAAATGTCATTAATAGTCCTAATTTGTACACACATCGAAAACTAAAAGCAAGACGAAGTTAATCCTTGGTCTGATGATTTGTATATGTTTATTTTATTGTACTTTTTTAGTTGTGTGCAATGCCTTGTAAACACACTGCTGTGACGACACTATTTCCCAATTTGGGATCAATAAAGCATATCTAATAAAGTGCCAAATCAACCACCACGAATTCTGGATTTTAGGCTATTGACATGCTAATGATGCTAATGATGCTAATGATGCTAATAACGAAGAAGCTAAACGTTATGTTCTGAGACTAAGTCAATACTTTTTTAAAGCAGCCTACGCCTTACATTACAGTCATTTAACCCTCTCCATGTTTGTGTGTGAAGGTTGGTTACACTCACCGGAACATCATTTATTTTAAACACTTGTATTTATTATTTTTGGAGGAGTGTTTAGAATACACTTGCCTTTCAAACGCGCCCCTTATCTGCTCGCTGTTTACAAAACATAAATGTGAGGAAGCAGAGAAACACATCATCAGCTCCTGCTCCGGGTCTCATGGAGGACCAGTGCTCAATAAGCTGTACTTTCATACAGCTTATTGTAAAGGAACACGGAGTAAAAAGCGTGTTTGCGCCGCTAATGCATCCTGAAGCCTGGAGAAATAACGCTGCACTTCTCGATTATTCATCCTGGAAAAAGTATTATTCCCGAGTTTGCATGTGACTTTGGTTTCATGCAGAATTTGGCTGCACGTGATGCGAGATTGAGCCTCTTATAATAACTGCAGAATTTGAGTGCGTTAAAAACCAGTCAGCGAATGCGCCTAAAATCACCGTCATATATTGTTGTATGTGTTTTATTACGTCAGTGGTTAAATCTATTATTACTTTTGTTTTATAATAGATATGAATAATTCATAAAATACACCATGAGCATTTCATTCTTCAAAAATTGGACTTTGACCCTTTGTGTGTAAAAAATAGAGGCACATTTTAAATATATAAATCTGTATTTTTAGTTATTTTAGAGTCCACATAATAAAAGGCTATAAATACACCAACATTTATTTGACCAACATAAGAAATATCGGTATTAAATAACTGTCATTTGTATATTTTTTCATATGAAAAATGTCCATATTATAACTTTTTATTTAATTGAGCTACTTCATTTAAGTCGATGGTTTTAAAGATAATTAACTTGGGTTAATTAAAAACCCTTTCAAATGCTGTCTCATGTCCCAACAAGCCTTCATAACTCTAATACCAACACACACTGAACACATATGTATTGTAGGCTTATCTGCCGAAATAACCTACACATATTTTTTTGTAATTCGTTATATTTCCACTTCTATATTCGCTTCCGTTTTAAAACGTAATTCCCTTCACTGCGCATCGTTACAAGCCAAAGCGTAAAACCTTGTTGACCATGACTGAACATATTGCAAACGTCATTAATAATCCACAATTGCTCCAAATAATGTGTCATTTTAACTCGCGTTGTCAGTGCCTTGTAAGGGAGTGTGTGTGTTATTCTACGTTGGGTGATGAGCCTGTGTTTGACAGGGTGAAGGAAAGTGTGGAGACATTTAACTCCATAATCTAATATCTGCAATGATCCATACATGAACAAGTCCTATTGTGTAATTGCTCAGCTCTTACAACAATCACTGTGGTGGTGTCAGAACAGTAAACTCAAACATCAGAGTGGGATCCAGATGTGAGCAATAAGTCGCTGTGATAATGTGAAAGTGATTATGAGAGGAATGGCCTGAGATCAGTGGGTTCCTGAAGGCGTCTCAACATGTCTCTTTCATCAAGAGGCTAAAAGTCTTTACGTGAGTCACACTCAAACACAACAGAGGAGGAGGTGGAGCTGTTTTTATATGTAACCCTCAACAGATGACTCTCTGTGTCAATATTAAACCACTCTTTAAATCAGAGGATGAACTCCCATTCGTCTTATTTTGAAAACCCTAGAAAGCGTTTTAATGACCGCATGTAGCATTTTGCATCCATGTATTTATACACTTCCGGTCTTTGTTGCCCGGATTTCCTAAATGATTCTGTAATATTTAGAGTTAACTGCATGAACGTAATTACTTTTTTACTTGTTGGCAGCCCTGGAAAAACTCGGAAAATCCTAATTAATAAGGGCGAATTCAGGCGGATTTCGGAAGTCATTTTTATTATTTTTATTTTGTATTTGAGGCCTATTCTTTATTATTGCTGTCCCTTTACAATATTATTATTGTTGCTGCTGCTTATTGATTGTTTTTATTGAGAGGAGAACGTGATAAAACATGACAGTATAACCTCTTAAATTCGTGCTCAAAATCACACATCCAACGCAAATTACAGATAAGTTATGGTAATAACTTTGCCTTTATTTGACAGCAGTGTGTATTCTTTGGGCATACCCGGGACGGTCTTAGCTTCCCTGCCTCGGCGTTTTTCCAGGGACACGGCTTCAGTTCTAAATTACATTATTGGCAAATGATAATCAATGTATACAAGAAACATAATGACTGATATTAGCTGTTTAAAATGATATACTAAGTTATGAATAACGGCTATACGGCTGGGTGTATTTGTAGAGCAGTTGCGCAGAACCTGACATATTACAATATATATTAAATAGCCCTGTTTAACAGAACAATTATCAATGATATTATCTTTGCACATTATTATAATTACTATAATTACAATTATTTGTATTATTATTATGTTTAAATGAGAATTGAACAAAAATGGGAAATCGACCTAATTGATTGAAGTAAATAGCAAAAACAAGGCCGTGTGCAATTATTACATCCAATAAAATACATATGACTATTTATAAAGACCTACATAATTTAATCGGACATCTTTCGAGATAATTGCACGCCATAAATAATAAATGCTATTAAATATATTATTATAACCCTGCATAAACCCCAAACAAAATACTGTAATATTTAGTTTACAATGTATTACTTGTATACTGCGTTACCTTCAGATATAGTGCCAACAGTGGTTATCTCAGCCTATAGTATAAAACAGATTACTTCATGACCACTGCATTACTTTTAGAAATACAAGTTTATTAAGAAATTCACAAACCTAGAAAAGAGGGGAAAGTGCTAATTAAAATGAAACATGGCCCCAACATGAATGAGACAAATAAAGCTAATCACGTTTATAAAAAAACAAAAATAATAATCAGAAAGATTTACAAAACCTGGCACTGGCTGGCTGGCGTCATATTGGAAATGATATCATACATTTACACTGGGATCAAGAAATATGAAAACCCTGAATTGGCAGTCTGGTGGATTTCTATCCACACTTTCACCTTTAACCCAACAAAGTTTACAACCGTGTCAGGGTGAAGTTTCGGCCTTCTCAATGCAAGAGGGCTAAATAGAGCTCTGATTCAATCACATATTAAAGCACTGAATTATTTAGGGCATCAAGTTTCATTTGGCAATGGTTTAAAAAAAAAAAAGCCGTGCGTAAAGACGAGAGAAACCATTACGCACAATAACACAGCTGAAGCAATATCAGCAATGTCTATCCCCGTGGAAACTCTTTCCAAAGGCACGATTATGACTACAATGCCGGGTTATTACAGCCATCAGTCCAAGTGTAATTCAGGCGCACGAAATGGTTCCCAGAGTGTGTGCAACCTGATGTGTCCTGATGGCTTCTTTACCTCCCGGTTCCGTTTTGTAAAACTGTCCACTCGAGCTTACTTTCCCATCGATCGGCAGGACCCGAGCAGCGCGTCAAAAATACTCTTGGTTCTTTTTTGAAATCACAGGAATTACCTCACTCTCAGAGTCCTCATTTTTTTGTTTACACACAGACCATTTTTGGTAAGCTTTTAAATATCAATCCTCGTGTGTAACGCCGAGTGTTTGGACTCGTGTTCCCAGTAAGAGCAGTGCATCATGGAGAGCTCCGCGGGCTGGCGGGAGCAGGCGAACTGAAGGCCGGCTCCGTTACTGGAGGAGACCGAGGGGGGAGCCGCGGAGGCCGGGCTCAGCTGCTGCCCATGGTGGGGGTGCCCCGGGTGGTGGTGGTGACTCATGCCGTTGTAAGAGTTCACCATGTTGGGCAGCGCCATGCTCTGCACCCGGGAGTACGGGTTATAAGAGGAAGGTGCTGAAAGACCCTTCACGTTCACCGGACTCACGTTGCCGCTGGCCATCTGACAGGACGTGTAGGACATGGGAGGAGGCGGCTGACCGAGCGACCAGGAGTTGTTCATGAAGCTGGATTGCAGGTACTTTGGTGGCGACAGGTAGCCATAGCCGTCCCCCCCGAACAAGGACTTCCCGGGCTGGAAATGCGTCGGTGGAGGTCTGAACGGCCGTTTCATTCTACGACGTCTCCGGTAGTTCCCCTTCTCAAACATGTCCTCGCAGGCCGGGTCCAGCGTCCAGTAATTCCCTTTCCTCTCCCCGCCGCCCTCCCGAGGAACCTTGATGAAGCACTCGTTGAGACTCAGGTTGTGTCTGATGCTGTTCTGCCAGCCTTTCTTATTCTTCTCGTAGAAGGGGAACTTGGTGATGATATACTGGTAGATGCCGGACAGCGTGAGGCGCTTCTCGGTGCTCTCCCGGATGGCCATGGCGATGAGAGCCACATAGGAGTACGGAGGTTTCTGGGACGGGTCCGCTTTCTCCGGGACTTTCTCCTGGACCGGCTCCTCTTTGGGTCGCTCTTTCTCCTTGGTGGTGTTGGTGTCGTGGGTCATTAGAGTCATTGCGTCATCCTCTGGGTTTTGGTAAGTGGCCATCATTGCGCACACCAAACCAAAACAAGTCCAGTTCAAATGGCGAAAGCAAACCTTTTAAATGTATCCTCGATGCGCAGAACGATGTGTTGCAGAAGCTCAGGATGCAACTGTTCCAAATTACGCGCAGAGAAATCTCTTATTTTGCTGCTCAGTGGGTGACATTCACCAGACCGTCCTCTCTCTTCAACGGGGATTTTTCTAAACTGGTTTCTGATGGAGGCGCTACCCAAGTTGTGGTTTGTGACTCTGTAAGCCCAGCCCTTTCCTCTTTTTTCCCCCGGATCCACTGACAGGCTGCGTTTGCTCCAATGATCTCCGTGTAGCGACGTCGTGATTTGTGTGAGTTCCGCCTCTGGTGGTTAGTGAATGAAAACATAATAATAGGCTGTTTTTAAGATGTTGGGATTCCGTTTTTTTGTATCGGGTCGCTATGAACATTACATTATGTGTGCATTCAAATATAATAGAAACATCAGAGAGACAATTGCATAACATCTTAGCTTTGTGGGAAGCAAACGGAAAAAAGAACATTTAAGAAATTGAAGAAATTCATCTTTGATATTTTCGTGCACAATGAAATGTGGTGAATGAAGTATTTATGTATAGTCAAAGTAGTACCACACAGTGTAGAAATACGCTATTATAAGTAAAAGTCATGCATTTAAAACCTAACATAAGAGCATCAAAGTGACAACCTTCTGCAGAACAGCCCATTTCAGACATGTTATCTTATTGGATTATCTTTGCATTATAATGTGCAACAATAGTGCAATAATGCATTTGAATGAATGTGCACATGCAATAATACATTCATATTGAAACTGGTAAAGGAGGAGCTTTTTTCTTCAATATATTATTCAGGTAAACTTGTGAATTATCTGACTATGAATATAAAATAGCATTTAAGCTGTGAAGTAAATGAACATATTTCCCTCTGAATTGGAATAGATCAAACGAAAACACTCAAGTATAGGTTTAATATTGTACTGTTTGGAATAAACACTTAAAATACAAATGTAAAATAAATTAGGTGCCCAATAATTATACCCATGTGTCATGTGAAATACAGTTTACTCGCCATTCCTCGACAGATATGTTTTCCACACAATTGGTATTCAAAAAAGATATCCAAATATATTTGACTATAAGCTCAGGCAATAAGGCCCTCACTTCCTGATCTCAGACTGAAAACTACTCCTTTGCAGACACATCTCCAAGACAACCTGGAGAGGTATTGCTGCTTAATTAGCTCGCATACAGGGGAGGGGGGAGAGAGAGTGCATGGAGAGTATTCATTTCTGCGGCCACCCATGAGGGTCCCCTTGGCTTTCTCCGGAGTGTATTTCCGTGCAGCAGAGTGTGTGTGCAGGTGGAGCAGCATTGGTGTGTGTGTCATCACCCTCAGCCGGGCCGCAGCAGCTGAAGCGCGGGCACAGCCAGCCGTCTCTCATCGCGCAATTACCCAGCCAAGACTCCCGATCTCCAGCGTCTCAGCGCCGTGTTATTCCATGTTTCAGTGTCTCTTTCACATGTTTCAGACGGAGAGAGCATTTCCAGATAATATCAACACCGCTGTTTTGCCTGCACGTTGTGAGTATTTGGCTTAGTTAAAGCATACCGTCATCCAATGTGTTAATTAACACAGATATCACATGACACAAGAGGGGGTAAACCGTGTCGTTAAATTGAAGACTAATACAGTTATTCAAAATGTTATTTATGAATGGATAGCCTGTTATTAATGCACGTTTCTGACAGAGGATATCTCAACACCACTGTTTTGCCCCTTTGCGTTGTGATGAGTTTAGTTAACCGTCATTCAATGTGTTAATTACAGAGGTGGAAGTAATCAAGTACATTTATTCAAGTACTTAAGTATAATTTTGAAGTACTTGTACTTTACTTTAGTATTTCCACGTTATGCTACTTTATACTACTACATGTAAAAGGAAAAACATTTAATTTCACTCCACATTTATTTAACAGCTTTAGCTATAGGCCTTTAACAAAATGCATTTCTTGAAATTATCATTGTAATCAGAACGACATTAAAATGCTACTTGATGCAAAAATATTAACTAAATGTCACATAAATAAATATATACATTAAGGCCGTTTTTCTGCACAATGATTACTTTTACTTGTTGTACTTTAAGTACAGATATCACACGACACAAGAGGAGGTAAACCTTGTTATTAAAATCAATAAAGTTATTCACAATTATATGTGAATGAGGAAACCAGTCTATCAAACGCCTCCACAACAAGTTGATTAATTTAAAATATAAATAGTATATAAGTTAGAAAAGGTGTTTTGCAGATAAAAAATAATGGTATAACTTTGTCAAAAATAAAAATAGCCCCCCTTTATTTTTGTCTTATTACTTTAGTGTTAGATTTGGTGTTTTACTGTTAATTTACAGAGACACGCACATCGACAGAAATATACTGGTGGTTTGTTATGTGGTCCAAAAACAATAAAAGCAGAGACCTCAGAATAACCCCTCTCTGTGTTTAGATTTACCTCACATGATTTCAGGGAGTTTGTTTAGTCTTCTTTTATTGTCCCAGAGAAAGTCTGTGGTGCTGCCTCTGCACCAAAACAATAATAGAAACAGGAATCACCAAACAGGCTTTTGAGGGAAGACCTTTCAAAGAGAGACTCAGTGAGGCAAGGCCTACTAAAATCTTCCAGAGAAATGTAAAATACGAGTTAAAAAACAAAGTGAAATTGTTACCTAATGCAGCAACGGTTAGACATTATTATTTAGACCCCTAAAAAAACGTAAATTACCCTTAAAAACTGATACTTTTTTGACTAAAATACTAACATTCATTATCTCTACGATCTGTTTACTGGTAAAGGTGCAGCTAATTGTAATTCCTTTGTACTTTTACTTGAATACATGTACATAGCTATATGGTTATTTCGAAGTGTATTGGTTCTCAATGGCTAATTGAACACATTACGTATTTTATAAAATCGTTGTCCTCAGACATGTGGCTAATTAGTCTAGCATTATGCTTTAGACACAACATTAATTCTCTTTTTTGCAAACGAGCTTACTTTACATTTGAAATTGTCTTAAAGGTTAAGGGTCTCATGATATGTTATGTTCCCCCCCCCCCCCCCCATTAGCTTACCTGCTCCTTCCGGGTCTGAGCTGCAGCAGTGACGTCACAACAGAGCTGCAAACTAGCATGTCTAAAATCCGTAAACAAAACAAGGATCTGAAACTGGACCTGTCTGTAGGAGGCGCCGAGGAATGTTAATGTGGGAGTAAAGCCTGTTTTCATATGGACTTTAATGAGCAATACACAAACATACATTCGTAAATAAAACAAAATAAGTAACACCAATGGAATTAATGGATAAAATGCAAATATATGGTTAGCACATAGCCTATGCTAATGTGTTCAGTATGATTTGAGTTTATGGAATTGGCTCTCCCTGCACATGGTTTCGCAAAGTGGTCCATTTTAAATGAGTTCTTACCAATTGGCAATTTGGCATTGTTATCTTTTTCACTGACATATTCAGACAAACAAAACCTATAAGAAATGTTTTTGCTGTGAGCTAAATGCACTACAACAGGCCTCTCAGGGGAAGAAAAAAGTGTCGCTGCTGCAAAGGCTCCGTATGAGCGAAAAAATGCCACGAAAAATATTATTTTCATACAAACATTTGACTCCATTTATTTCTCAGGTTTGCGCAGTTTCTCCTTTTTAAATGCGCTGTTATTCGTGCATAAAGTAGATGTTCTGAGCTGCATGAGGCCGCAGTGAGTGAGGCTATCACAGACAGAGGAGTCCGTGTTTGTTCTTAGATAAATATACATCCAAGTCTTTCAACACCTCTCCAATAAACCCTGCAATAAAAGATCCAACATGCCGCCCCACACACTCAGACACATGCTAAGACATATTATAGCCAATTATAAGATATACAGAGGTGGAAGAAGTAGATCCTGTAGAAACACCACATGTATAAATACTCTGTTACAAGTCCTGCATTCAAAACGTTACTTAAGTACAACTACACAAATAGCATTCAAATAAACATAAAAAGGCAATAACTCAAAGTCATTATGCAGAATGGCTTTAAAAATAAATAAATAAAATCTATAGCCATATGTTTGGTTAATCTTTGATGCATGGTTTTGTTTGATGCAGCTGCAAGATGGAGCTACTTTTTTAGATTGCTTTAGTGTGTGCATTTAATCAAGGTGTAAGTCTAATATGTGTTGATTATATGTGTTATTGCAATATAACTAAAGCTCTCAGATTTATATAAAAAAAGTACAAGTGTGCGTATCTGCGTGTGTGTGCGCGCGCGCATGTGCGTGTGTGTGCGCGCATGTGCGTGTGTGCGCGCGCGCCTGTGTGTGTGTGTGTGTGTGTGTGTGTGTGTGTGTGTGTGTGTGTGTGTGTGTGAGAGAGAGAGAGAGTGGTGTGTGGTACAATAAACTGCAAACCGTCATTGCGCCGAACAGTAATGTAATTTGAAAGAGTGGAATTCCTGTCCTCGTGCACTTCCTGCCCTCGCGGGTCCAGGATAGGATGTTTATGATAGCGCGTGCGGGTGGAATGCTGCGGACGGATCCACCGGGTCAGACCGGACCGGAGAACCACCACCGGGGAGGAGAGGAGAGAACATAGGGCCAGATAGACGAGTTTTAGTATAATCAGAAAACTAGCTTTTTAGAATAAACACGTGTGACACGCATTTTTGTTTTTGTAATACCACACTGAACAAAAAGTGGAGTGACATTTACTTACTAGGCCTACATTCTATGTAAATGTAACAACCTATAGGCCTATTTCAAGTAACATCTACTTACAGTTAGGAAGTGTTTGGGAATCAAGTCAACTTTACTGTCACATTTCAGTTTTTGTTAGTACAATTTACTTTCTATTGCCTAAGCTAGTAGATTTGACTTAAGATTACATTTGAATCTTATTAGAAAATCTCCAGTAAAACATATTTGGCGTTTGGTAATATTTTAATATACTTTATTCTACTGTAACATCAAAGGCAATTACAAACCCCGAAACAATAGACACTTTTAAACAACACATTTATGTTTATTCTGTTGTCTGATGCCATGATTAAGCTACAGTTTACAATGAGTTTAACAAATACTGCATCCGTTAAACTAAACAAAGCAGGCACAGAAACACAGTGATATACTGTCACTCAGGTCGAAAAAGAAT